AAAAAAAAAAAAGAAAGGGAAGTTTCCCACAATGAGTGCAAGTGGTACCAATGTCATAAATTCAAAGAGAGGTCTCATTGTAATTGAGAGGAATGAGAAGGAGCATTCACTTGCTGGTGGATGCCCTTAAACTGAAGATGGAATACCTCAAAATTCTGTTGGGTTTTTTATATGTCATTTTGGGGGATGACATCGTAAAACTACTTTGTTTATTTGACAATAAGAATGAAAGAATCTTAAATATAGGGATCTAATAACACTTCTTTTTTTAGTTAGAGAATTATTCTGTTATTTTTGCTGAAGTTCATTGCCCAGCCTGGTATAAAAGGAGTTGAAAATAAGGTTAAGGCTGAAAGAAACAGTTCAGTGTTTTTTCTTTGTTTTTTTTTTTTTTACTTTTCAGTGCCAACTCCGGAGCACTGTATACTATTTGGCTTATATGTATTGTCTTGTTAAAAGGACAAATTTCATTCTGAGAACACTGAATGTTATATTGAACGTTGATTGCATAGCTCACTACACAGTAATGTAAAATAAGTTAATTTCTTTGTTCTGATTTAAATTGTATTGCTTCTGTTCAGATGATTTTCATTAAATGTGTTCTCTGGGGTTAACTGGAAACTGTGGAAAACTGGAAAACAACTTCGAAAAAATTGGATTTTATAGGAGGATTATTTGGGGCCAAACTCTTGCACACTGAACATAAAATGAGAAAAGAGGATTTTGTATAACTAGGGAAAATGAAAAAAATATAACTTCTCAACTGATGCTAACTTATTCTACAGATGTTCCTAAAACTAAAATACTAATTAGTGTGTATCCTATAAAAGTGATCTTTTAAAAAAATAATGTTTTCATGATTAGAATATATTTTGATTAAAAAAGGGACAGATATTTCTTATTCACAATGAAAATCCCATATAGACATACACGAAAATAATGGCATGATTGAATTTTCAGCAGAAGTAACTATTTATTTTTTACCTATTTATAATCAAAACATTATTGTTTCATTTGAAGGTGTGTATTAAAGTTCCACTTTTGAGTTATGAGACAAGGAGTTTATAACTACTTGAATTTTTACGGTAAAAATAGTCACTTTTGATGAAAACTTACCTCACATTTGTTTTTCTCAGCATTACTTAACGCTGTTTATTTAGTTGGAAAGATGTTTTTTTTTTTTCTGCCGAGGTAGATATTTTGCCATATGGGTATTTATGGTCTATAACTATATTTAAATATGTGTACACATGAAAATTGGTGTGTTGTCACTATAAAACAGTTATCACCATTAAAAAAAGTACACTGTATCCCATGATAGTATTAATGTACACTGCTATGATTTAATAAAAAAAATGGTGGGAAAAAAAAAGAAATATAGGTGAAAAGCTTCATGACATTGGACTTGGCAATGATTTCCTGGATATGACACCAATAGATGAACTACATGAAAATTAAAAACGTCTGTGCATCAGAGGATACAATCAACAGAGTGGTTGTGTGTCACAAACCTACAGGATGGGAGAAAATATTTGCAAATCATGTATCTGATAACAGGTTAATATCAAAAACATAAAAAGAACTATAACTCAACAACTAAAAACCAAACAACTCAATTAAAATCTGGGCAAAGGACTTGACTAGACAGTTCTCCAAAGAACATATATGAATGGCCAATAAGCACAGCTTTATTAATTATTAGGAACATTTGCATCACTTTCATAAATTAAATGAAATAGAATTGATAATTTTATCAATTCTTAAAGTTTCCCTTTAAGAACTCTCTCAAAATCTGTATTTCCCTTTACAAAGTTTGTTGTTTTATTTCTACAAGTCCTGCACATTCCTTTTTATGGCTTATTCTGAAACTATTTTAAAATGAGTTAACAGTGTATAGGATATCTTTTCTCTAATTATATTCTGTAAATTATTATCCCCAGTGTATATAGGAGTATAGAGATATATACCTATATATGATAATGACTATGGTTTAATTCATCTGGATATTTTGAAACAGGGACACTTTACTGGGTGTTTATTAGTTTAACAGTTTTCTAATTGATCTCCTTATATTTTCTACGAAGACAAGCATATCATTAGTAAATAATAGTTTTCTCCTCCTTTCCAATATTTATGGCTATTTCCTTTTCCTAGCTTACTACATTAGCTAGAATATGCAGAATGGTGTAAATAAAATATTCTTCCATTTCCTGTTACACTAAGTGCATTTTTAAAGTCATGCATAGGCGTTAAAGGCAAGATTAATCTACAGAGATTGAAACCACATCAGAGGGACCCAGAACAGAGAGGGGAAGACCAGACTGCAGTAAAACAAGAGCCTTCCCAGAAGGGGGATGGGGTATTCTGTATTTCAACTGGTGTCACTGCTACACAAGAGTCACTGGCCTGCATACTTGCAACTTCTGAGTTTTTATTTTATTCATTTATACCTTAAGGTGATTTAAAGAAATATAAATGAGTTCTATTGTGATGATAATGTGACTATTCTCCTTTGACAGACTTCTGTAATGAATTATATTAATATACTAGTTCTTTCTCCTATGTTTTATCCATTTCTAAAGAATTACAACACTAAGATATGATCATTGTAGAGAAGGGTTCAAATGCAATTAAACATTATGAAAACAAAAATGTAACAACTGAAATACCTACACAGCAGAGATTACTATCAACATTTTTACCTCTCCTAAACACTGACCAAAATAACTGTGCACACATCATGTGTGCATGCCTATCACAGAAAATTGTACCTGTGTGTGCCTGTGCATGCCTGCATCATGTCGCCAGTTGCTTAAAATGTTTCAATGCCCTACACGTGTCTACCAGGGGTGTCCAAGCTTGTGGCTTCTCTGGGCCACATTAGATGAAGAAAGTTGTCCTTGACCACACATTAAATACACAAACACTAACAAAAGCTGATTAGCAAATAACAACTCCATGTATAATTTTCATCATGTCTGACACCAAAGAGGAGCAAAAATGTCCTCACATGTTGCCTGTGGACCGTGGGTTGGACACCCCTGAATCTGACAAACATGTTAGTTTCCTCTTACTGTTTAATGACCTAAAACTAATCTATCTCCTTACAGTTCTTGAGGTCAAGAGTCTGAAATGAGTTTTACGGGGATAAAATTAAGCTGCTGGCAGAACCTCCCTCCATCTGGAAGCTTCAGGGGAGAAGCCAGTCCCTGCCTGTCCAGCAGAGAGAGCTGTGTGTCTTGTACTCCTTGGTCAGGTCTTCCTCTTCTAAGCCAGCAGCACAGCACCTTCTCTCTCTGACTTTGCCACAGCACTAGGTCCTTTTCTCTTCTCTCTGAAATGCCCCCTACCCCTCCTTTACCAGGATCCCTGTGGTTATACTGGGCCATCTCCATAGCCGGGACTATCCCCCATCCCAAAGTCCTTAACTTAATCACACCCACAAGACCCCTTTTCTACGTAAGGTCACAGGCACACGTTCTAGGGATCAGGGCCTAGGTGTCCTTGGGGGCACGGTTCAGCCACTCACACCCTACCCACCTTCAGCCCATGCCCTGCAGCCCTCACCTCCTGCACTTTGGCTGTGTCACTCTTCTCTTAGTTCCTTGAACACACCATACCCATTGGACATATCTAACAAAGGGAGAAACCACCTTGTGTAGCAGAGGGAAGAGAACTCCCATCCCCTGGGGGAGCTAGACAAGGAGAAAAAAGCCAGCAACACGGGGGATTATGCTGTTCAAACTGCCCAGAGAAGACCCTCCAGGGGCCGGGTGTCTAGTGAGGCATCTGGAGAACAGAAGCCACCAAGAGAGGTAGTGTGCTTGGGTGATTTAAACCTTCCTGTCTCAGGCCCATGACATGCCCTGAGGCTCCTGTGTGCCTGTGTGGAAGGCAGACTCAGGGTCCAGGTGACTGTGGGGTGAACGTGGTAGCATGCAGACTCGAGGGTCACAGGTTCACATGCCACCAACTGAAATGCAAGTAAAAGGAGGATCAGAGCACCAGGCATGTCTCTCATCAGCAGTGTCGCCTAGCCCTGGGACTAAGGAGGATGGGACAGAGTTATGAGAGACCAAAACCCAACCACACCGTCTCCCCAGAGACTCCAACCACCCCTGCATGCCTAGGGGACCCAGGGTAGGGGCATGCCCGACACTTACAGCTGTGGAGAGCCTGGATGCCAGTGTCATCTCCAGATTCCCCTTCAGGCCCACCAGGGGTGTCACCAGTGTCAAAAGGTCTTTAACTTCCATAAACACGGGCCAGTGCTGGGGGTAGGGGGGAAGAATAAGGAGATAAATGCAAACACATTTCAAGCTTCCTGAGAGAACCTTCTGTAAGCTTCTTTTCACTTTCTATAAAATGAACAAGACTAAGTAGTTTCTTAAATGGCTTTAAACTATACACAAAAGAATGATGAAACTGTGAAAGGTTTTAATACCATCTACTGAGTCAGCATTAGCGAACCCAAGCAAGCGGGGGGCTGGGCCAGATCAGAGGCCATCTGGCACCAAAGAGGTCGTCTGGTCTGCAGGATGTGTTTTGCAAAGAGGTGACCCAGTTACTGATTCCAAAGCTAGGGGATTTCTCATGAACTAGGACACTGCATAACACCCAGCAAGACAGCAGGGGCTGAGGAGAGGCCCTGTCTTCACCAGGGGCTGTCATCCCCAGGCTCACATGGGCCCACCACTCTGCTCCCAAGTGCTGGCGCTCAGCTGAGTCATTTCCAAACAGTCTGTGGGGCTTGAGATTTTTAAAATAAGATAGAATATGTCTCTGTTAAATGTAAAAAAGTAAATAAATAATTAGATGAAGGGGTTCATGCTTCAGTAAAAGTCGAAAACATTTATTTGTGGAGATGAAAATGATTCTTACCTGTTTAATGTGCAATTAGATTGTTTCCCCAAATCAATTTTTAATATCCCACTTGACCCTACTGATTTACTTTGCCTGCCTGGCCCTTATAGAGTCCTATGGTCCCTACACTAGAAGTTTCTGCTACTTTTGGAATTTGGGGCCTAAAAACAAATCCCTGTCTCCTCAACAGGGAGATAGGTGGTCTGAGGTCTCCTCCGAACCCTAGGGCAGAAGAGGCTCCCACAAGCAACCTAGCAATGGCACCCCAGGGCTAGAGAGAACAGAAAATGATCTTTCAGTTTCTCCCGTGACCTTCTTTATCAAGCTGTGAAATTCAGAGTCCTGACCCAGCCATGAAAGAGTTCTGAGTCCGTTCTCTCCTAAAATTCCAGAGGGGTTATGGGGCTCCAGCACTCCCCTGCCCCTGTAGCCTGTGCTTGTGGGGCACCGAGACCAACACACTCCCACAGTCAGTCTGCCATAGCCGCGTCATACTCTGCACCCACCTCCTCTGCCACATGCTGGCATGACTCTCTGCCTACATACGTCTCAGCAAGTTCCAACCCCTAAGGGACAACAGGCTCCTCAGGGCCCATCCTGCCCTGAAGCCTTCCTCCCACTCTCCCAGCCAGTACCTTTTGGATGAGTTCCCAGCACATGCAGCACAGCCCTTGCTGGGACCTGTTTCCTAGTCGCTGACCTCTCCCAGTGGGTGGGCCCCACTTTCTTTCTCTATGGGGTACCCTGTCCTCCCATACTTACTTAGCATACAGAAAGCATCTGCTAAAACGGGCCTCTGAGATGCCATCCTCCTGGTCCTGGTGATCCCAGTGTGGTCTCTACCATGGACCCCTGCCTCCTCTCCTGTTTTCTTCCTTTTCCATGTCCCTTCCCTCCCATAGCTGACTCGCCTCTACTGCTTTCTCCATGTACCCATGTCTTTTAGACAGAGACTTCAAGGGAGTGAGGGAGTGAGAGGGACCTTGACTCCTGAGATCCCAGCCTCCTTGCCAGTGGTCACCAGGGTGTGGGTTATGCTAAGTTTCAGGCCAGTGAGATCTGCAAAGTCTTATCTGGACACACGTAGGAGGGAAACTATTCTTGGGGCAACGTTAACAAACAAGAGACTGGCTAAATGTTAAAGTCCTAATGCCCAAAACTTCAAAATGTGACCCCAATTTAAAGAGATAATTAAGGAAAAATGGCTTGGCACCTGTGGCTCAAGTGGCTAAGGCACCAGCCACATACACTAAAAGTGGCAGGTTCGAATCCAGCCCGGCCCGCCAAACAACAATGATGGCTGCAACTAAAAAAAAGTAGCCAGGTGTTGTGGCAGGTGCCTGTGGTCCCAGCTACTTGGAGGTGGAGGCAGGAGACTCGCTTGAGCCCAGGAGTTGGAGGTTGCTGTGAGCTATGCCACAGCACTCTATCAAGGGGGACGGCTTGAGGCTCTGTCTCAAAAAAAAAAAAAAAAAAGAAAGAAAGAAAGAAAAGAAATGCTAAAAGAAATTAAGGAAAAATGAGGTCATGAGGGTGGGTCTAAGCCAGTATGGCTGCTATTCCCTTAAGAGCAGGAGATCAGGGCTGACATGCACAGAAGGAAGACCATGTGAAAACACAGGGAAGACAGCATCCAAAACCAAGCTGCCAACACCTTCATCACAGACTTCCACCCTCCAGAATTAAAAATTAAATAAATAAAATGTTGTCATTTAAGCTACTTAGACTGTGGTACCCTGTTATGGTAACCGTAGCAAACCAATACAAATGGTAAGGTGGGAAAGTGCTGGGGACACTGTTAGTCAAGGGAAATAACCAGTTCTGGAGCTGTTTTATTTCCAGACTTCTTTACAGAGATAAGAAAGAAGTGTCCTCATTCTTCAACTCGCTCTGAGATGGGTTTCCTGTCATCCACAAACAAAAGCACACACACTGACTAAGACAAAGGCCTGCACTGTACCTCTCAGTGCCTCTGGCTCAGTGTCTCTTACAAGGGTCAGACCCACAACTCCAGTTGCTGACTGATCCCTGGACACCCATAGGCACCTCCAACTCAAGATTGCTCCTTGCCATCCCATCCTTCCTGCTCTGCCAGTCAGGACTCAACCCCTTCTTGTCTCCAACCTGACGCACAAGTCATCAAGTCATCGTAACTCTGGTAAATTCTGCCACAGCCTCCTCCAGCAGCACTTTACAGACATGTGTCCCTGGCACAGGTGAGGCTGAAGCAATGACTCTTGTACATGGGGGCTTTGAATTATGACCACAGCCTTCCAGCTCTCCCTCACTGACACAAGCCTCACACTCTGGCTCATCCTTAACAACACACCAGGGTTTTGAGTTTGGTAGCACAAGATGATCAAGCCACTCAGCCACTTGTAACCTTTCACTGCCAACCCCACTCCCAAGTACACTCAACACGCAAGTCTACGTCCTCCAAAGCACATTTGTAAGAACACTGCTTGTAGTGCCCGCAGAACAGCCAAACAGCCCAGGTAACAGGGGTCAGAGGAGGGCTTGAGACTAGGCAGGGCAGAGAGGGGCCATACTTGGTACACAACCTAGGCTCCTGTGCTGGGCAGACAGGGCCCCTCCCTCCTGCCACCCGTTCCCCACTATTCACAAATGCATACTACCATTTAACTATGCTTGCACACACATCCCTTTGCCTGGAATGTTTGCTGCTTGCTGGAAATTGTTACATTATCCTCTAAGGCTCAATTCAAATTGCCCTGTTTCCTCTACAAATGCTCTGACCCTTGGTAAAAAATGAATGTTCTCAGTTCGCTCATGGGCCTCCACTCCCTGCCTAACCCTCTCAACTGACAAATACATATAAGCAACTAATGTTCTAAGAAGAATAGGGGGCCGGGCGTGGTGGCTCATGCCTTCAATCCTACCACTCTGGGAGGCTGAGGCAGGAGGATCCCTTGAGCTCAGGGGTTCGAGACCAGCCTGAGAAAGAGTGAGACACCATCTCTACTAAAAAATAGAAAAATTAGCCAGGCATGTGGCAGGCAGCTGTACTCCCAGGTACTCAGGAGGCTGAGGCAGGAGTATCACCTGAGCCCAAGAGTTTGAGGTTGCTGTGAGCTAAGCTGATGCCATAGCACTGTAACCTGGACAACAAAGTGAGATGTCTTAAAAAAAAAAAAAAAAAGGAAGAAGAGGGGATTCTTCTATGCTCGGCCCTGAGGCCCCAGTTGTAAGGGGCGGTGGATGGGTCAGGGACAAGTGACAGGATGTAAAAGCTCAAAGCTATCCTCCACACAAGGTGGCCAAAGGTCATAAAGGGAAGACTCAGGGCAGAGTCTCTCTCCCCAACATTGACAGGGTAGTCGGTCTCAGTGACAGGTGGACAAGCTCTTAAAGGAGACTTCACTGAAGCTATCAGGAGGAAGAGACAGGTGTCTAGGTTGCAAGCCAAAGACGCACACATTTTCTAGAGGCAAGCTGGTGAGTATGCAATGGGTCATCCCAGCCCTGAGGGGTTAAGTGCCCTTAACACTGAGACATGCAAACAGAAGCCACCTGGGAGGCATCGTGAGCTAACACTTGGAGGATGGATGGCCCTGTGGGTACTGACCATCCCTCTCCACCTCAGACACAGGCACTTAGGGAGATGCTGTGTGGCCGTTAGGAAGAGGATGAGGATGGCCTGTACATTTAGAAACATGATGTCCTAGTGGATTGAAAATTTAAATTTACAAATTAGAAAGCATTATACAGTATGATCCCATATATTTATATGAACACAGAAAGCAGTCTCGATAGATGCACGGAATGTTGAAGAGATAATAGACACCATCTGTCACTTATGTGTATTTTCTAGTCTTTCTAAAATAGCACACTGACTCTGTAAATAGACACACAGAAAAACATCTCAATGACTCAAACACCTTACCTGAACCCCAAGGTATAAAAAGACTATGAGGAGCATCCTCTCCCAGCAAATGCCCCTGACTGGCCTGGACTCCACACCAGGCTCTGGACCTTGCCTTTCCACACAGGACTCCGGAAGGGTGGGCCCTGTCACCACACATGGACTGTGGCACACACACTCCATCATCTGGCCTTCACAACTCTATGAGGTAGGGGCTTTCATTATCCTTGTTTTATAGACAGGGAAACTGAGGCAACAAGTGACTGGAAAATCCCCTCCACTGATGAGCAGAAGATCCTGTCGAGTGAGCCCACATTCTCTGGAAGGAGTCAGTTTAGGCCGCCTGGGCAGGCAAGGCTAACCTCTTAGGAGGGTCCTCAGAATCTCCATTGCCCTGTGAATTTCTGGCACTGAAGTGCCCAGTACACCCTTCTGCCAGCCCCACTGACCCTGGGGTCTGGTCAGCAAGGCCGGGCTCAGGGTGGCTGTGCCCCCTCTGGAGGTCCTGAATGTCCCTAGCCTGCTCTGCTTCGGG